GCAGGTCCGGGCTGGGGATTCGAACCCGCCACCTTAGGTGTACGCAGCTGGCGCCTTAGCCGGTTGAGCTATAGGCGCCGAGCCGTAATTACTTTCAAAAGAAAAACATTTCCAAAATGAAAGATTCCAAGTAGAGTTAGTGTCTACACACGTGAGAAAGGATGGATGAACAAAGAAGGCATGAAAATCTAGTTTAACAAAGACGGGTCACAAAGGCCTCAAGGATTTACTTAAAAAACCGGCTTTGCTTTTTTTTTTTAAATCACTTTAAAGCTCATGTTACACAAAGTGCAAAAGCAACTGCAGCGGACTTGAAAATCCAACTTGTCATACCTGGTGGACTAACCAGCCAGCTGCAGCCTTTTGATGTGTCAGGGCCCTGATGAAGGCAGAATGGACGTCATGGATGCAGTCAGCTGGTGATGATTTAATACCTACAGGCAGATGGGAGAAAGCAGCCATCACCTAGGTTGGTGATTGGATCTGAAGATTGTGGAATGGTGTCAAGGGTGGTTGTGAAATGTTTTAAAAATGTGGCATCAACATTGGAAGCTATGGATGGAACTGAGATGAGGACTCTTCAGAAGACACCTGTAATGTAGAACTTGAAGACAATGATACTTCTGATATTGACAGTGAGAAAGAGTTCTTGGCCTTCAATGATATGTAAATATTATAAGTTTGTTATTAGGGGCTGGGCATGGTGGCTCATGACTATAATCCCAGCAATGGAATAGGAGGCCGAGGTAGGTGGATCGCCTGAGCTCAGGAGTTAGAGACCAGCCTGAGCAAGAGTGGGACCCCATCTCTGGGACCCCATCTCTAAAAAAAGCTGACATTGTGGTGGGCTCCTGTAGTCTCAGTAAGCTGGGAGGCTAAGGCAAGAGAATCACTTGAGCCCAAGAATCTGAGGTTGCTGTGAGCTATGATGCCATGGCACTCTACCCAGGGTGACAGCAGAGTGAGAGTGTCTCAAAAAAAAAAAAAAAATTGTTACTGTTACATAAACTTTCCTGTACCTTGCATTTGTCCTTGTTTTGTGATTATTACATAAAATTTCTTGTACCATGTTAAAAAAATAAATGTAAAATTCCTTTATAATACAAAAAAACCCACCAAATAACTAAATATAAACAAATAAAAATGTAAATTAAAAAAATAAAATGGAAGTTTTATTTCCCTGAAAGTTTAGGTCAAAAACTTGGGTGCCCATTATACCTGTTACCCAGGGCAAAATATGATAACGGAAAAGGGAGTAGGAACCTAACATGAGAGGCAGCGGGACAAGCTATTGGCTGTTGCTATTAATGGCAAACTGCCATCCTCTAGCAAACTCGTAGTGGCCCCCAAACTGGAGAAAGAGAATGCCTCCCACAGGCCCCAGTCTTCAGGAAAGGTAAAAAAGCTAAATAAAAGGTATAAAATCTTATAAAAAATATTTTAGCCAAATGATGTCAAGAACCCTCTGAACCACAGACAACGATTTCCTATGGTTTTACTCAGAACGAGAATCTCTCCTAAAGACTCTCTGACTCAGCCCATTCGAAGTGACTCATGACTTAAATACATCATCAGCCTAGGACAGGTACAGCAAGCTTTAGGGGACTATGGAAATAAAATATCTGTACCCACTGAGAAGACCCCACCTCACCTAATGGTCAAACCTAGAGATCTAGTCCTTCTAAAGACCTGGAAGGAGGGGTCCCCACTGATCAACTTCACCCTGAATGGAGAGGTCCCTATCAGGCTCTTGAGCATCCCTACTGCAGTTAAGCCACAAGGAATCAACAGCTGGGTACATCTGTCTACAATAAAATTTGTTTCTCCAGATTCTTCACAGGATTCTATGCCATCAACCAAGGATTTAGAATGTATCTGTGAATCTGTGGAAGATCTGAAATTCCTCTTCAGGAAAAAACCCCTAGAATCAGAACCAGGAATCTAAAAACTGCCTCAACACCAGGTAGCTCCTTACTTGCAGATCATCTGTCTTCAAGTCTTCACTTAGGCAAAACTAAAACTTGTAACTTCCCCGGTACACCCATAACCAACTGCTTTCATCATGGGGCCAATGCTTCTTTCCATTCTAAGCCTAATAATGAAAGTCAGGAGTTAATAGGAAGACAATAGTTTGGTCAGTGTCTCCTGGATTATAGCCACTGTGCGAGACTTTACAAACTGCTGGATCTGTCACCAGCACCCCCAAGGACCAGTAAACTGGAACAGCTCCCTCATTAACTAGCACATCATGGGCCCCACAACATGTTCCTATAACCATTTCCCTAGACCACGACCTCTCTTATCTGGACCCGTGTAAACCTTGTAGGTACAGGGAAGGTCAGTCTTGCCTTAAATTGTCCAAGGGATAATAATCTGTGTACCTCCCGCATGGTGTCTACCAGAAACAGAGTACCGCCCGCTCCACAGACCAACACTTGGATGTGGTAATATCCCATTTACCCCAAATCATGAAGAACACCCTGTGCTTTCAGTCATACAGATGGGTGTCCACAGGGCTCAGGGGCTGGATGAAATTGACTCTAACTGGCTCCTACCAGGGGTAACACACCCTCTTCCCACAGGAAACTCTAGAGGAAACAGGACACTTTTCATCAGTGAAGTTGCCCTGTCATATAAAACCAACCCACTGGACAAGAGAGCTTCTCACCCTAAATCAAGCTGGCCAACTACCAAAAGGAATCGTGCCCCTGCTGGATGTTCTTAATTGGTTCCTCTCGTGGGAGAGCCCTTTGGGATGGATTGGCCCTTGCCTATTCAAGTGTAGAAGATACATGGCACCACGGAGGGTGCTCCCTTGGACACCTGATTCCTAGTGAAGTACAGGTTTTTTTTTTTTTTTTTTTTTTGAGACAGAGCCTCAAGCTGTCCCCCTGGGTAGAGTGCTATGGCATTACAGCTCACAGCAACCTCCAACTCCTGGGCTCAAGCGAGTCTCCTGCCTCTGCCTCCCAAGTAGCTGGGACCACAGGCGCCCGCCACAACGCCCGGCTATTTTTTGGTTGCAGCCATCATTGTTGTTTGGCAGGTCCGGGCTGGGGATTCGAACCTGCCACCTTAGGTGTACGTGGCTGGCGCCTTAGCCGGTTGAGCTATAGGCGCCGAGCCGAAGTACAGGTTTTTAAATGGATCAAGCCTAGGCCTAAGATAGCAACTAGATCAATCTTACTGAGTACCAGGGCAGTGATAGGCTTTCTAGCCCCCTGGAGCGGATTTCCCTATCATGAGTTTACTTTCACTGCCCTTACCAGCAGTGGTAAAACCAGCATGGCAAACCCCAAGTGCATTAGATGTCTTAAAAATCTATTTAAACTTCCTAGCTAACGTGGTCCTTGATTAACAGGTAGGCACTGGACTTCTTCTTAGCTGAACAGGGAGGGGTATGCATTCTCTTTTTGTACCTGGTTTTATACATTTTAGGAAAACGGGAATTGCAGATAAAATAATAAATCAAGTTATGTGTAAAATATACATTCGTTTGGTCCAAAAAGGTGGGACATTCCCAAAGAGGAGGGAGGCCCTACAGGTGATAGGTAAGTTCAGATATTCTTCGATTTGTAATTGGTGAAAGAAATAAAAGCTCTGTCTAAAGACTTGACGTCAGTACAAAGGAATGTTCAAGTTAAGGGGGTCAGCTGATCGAAGAGCAAGCCACAATATACCCATTGGAAGTGTTTTTTTTTTTTAATTGATGGCTGTTGTTGTTGAGACAGAGTCTCACTATGTTGCCCTTGGTAGAGTGCTATGGCGTCGCAGCTCACAGCAACCTCAAACTCTTGGGCTTAAGCAATTTTCTTGCCTCAGCCTCCCAAGTAGCTCGGACCATAGGTGCCTGCCACAACGCCTGGCTATTTTTTGTTGCAGTTGTCATTGTTATTTTTAGCTGGCCCTAGACAGGTTTGAACCCGCCACCTTTGGTGTATGTGGCTGGCTCCATAACCACTGTGTTACGGGCGCTGAGCCTGGAAGTGGTTTTTTAAGCAAAATTGATGGCTGCATTTATGACTTAACCTTTGCTTTACATGAATTTAGCTCTAGATTGCAATTAGGGAGGGCAGTATAAGGTATGCTCCACTTCCTACTCGATTTCCCTCCCTTTACAACCCAGAACTCAGTTTTAAGGTTTTTCTGGTGTTCCCTTGGCCAAAAGTGACAGGGAGGGTGGTAGGAGGCAGGGAGGAGGTTAGGACCTTAGTTTTAGTTTGCAAGGTTGACTGGGTTTAATTCATGACCTTAGTCCCCCCTCGGCAGGCAACATTGGCTAGTGATGCTCTTCCGTTCTCTGGATTGACCATTCATTCCGTTACTTCTCTTTGTATCTCTCATATCCCCTTTCCCCATTTTCAGGAGGTGACCTTGCCTCTTATGTGAGAACAGAAACCATCTGTAGAGACAGCGCTTCAACTTCAGACCGTCAAATCTGTGTTTACTTTCTCTTGCATCTTTTTCCCACGGAAGACTATCCCATCAGAAGCGAATGTTTATACTGGTACTAGGAATCGCACCCTTCTCAAGGACTTGATTCTGTCATCTCCTTTCTCATGCATCACTAACCTAAGGGTATTGGGCATTCTGAGCAAGGATTCAGAATATTAAGACTTTAGGATCACTTGAACCTAGGAGTTCAAGTTTGGTCTGGGCAACAGAGTGAGACTCTACCCCTCTTAACAAAGAAAAAGTTGGTTTTATTTTGTGTTATGTTCATCCAGTATTAAGGAAACTATCTTTTTTGTTGCAACAGTTATTACAGTTTAAAAAAAAAATCCTTAAAACACAGAGTGGCCCCTGTGGCTCAAAGGAGTAGGGGACCAGCACCGTATGCCGGAGGTGGCAGATTCAAACCCAGCCCCAGCCAAAAACTGCAAAAAATAATCCTTAAAACCCCACAGTATTAATAGGTAAAAACTCTGTAAACAGTGGAAAGACATTTCCATGTGAAGCTAAAACATAAAAAAAAAAAAGGGCTTGGTGCCCGTAGCTCAGTGATTACTGTGCCAGCTACGTGCACTGAGGGTGGCGGATTCGAACCTGGCCCAGACCAGCTAAACAACGACAGCTGCAACAAGAAAATAGCTGGTGTTGTGGCTGGCGCCTGTAGTCCCAGGTACTTGGGAGGCTGAGGCAAGAGAATCACTTCAGCCCAAGAGTTGGAGATTGCTGTGGGATGTGATGCCACGGCACTCTACCCAGGGCAACAGCTTGAGGCTCTATCTCAAAAAAAAAAAAAAAAGCATTTTGGCAATATTTGTTGCAGTTTGGTTTGGCCAGGGCCAGGTTTAAACCTGCCACCCTCGGTATATGGGGCTGGTGCCCTACTCACTGAGCCACAGGTACTGCCCCCAGCCCTGAAAGTGTTTATTTTCTAAACACAAATATTATTAAACAGGTGAAATAAATGCTCAGAGCACTCTATATTAGTGGCCAAATCATCTTGAAAGAATAAATGATAGACTGGACATTTTTAAGTAAAATAGAACAAAACTATAGAGCTATTAAGTGTCATGATTTGGGAATTTAAACATGATCTGTCTGTCCTGGAGCCTCTTTTCACCTATCACCATAAATGACTGTGGCAGGTTAAGTTAGAATGAAGTGGTGGATCTTAGGTTGTCTCAAAGTTACAGCATGTCAGCAGGTAAATCATTCTAAGAAACTACAGAAGTCCAGACTTGGGAAAGGATCTGGGGCCCGGTCTAAAACTTAACTATAGTTTAGTGAGTTTTAGACCTATCATCGTATTGATAATGACATGTTTATATATATATATATGTAGGTCACCATGAAAGTTTTAGGACAGACTGTTATGGGTTCATCACTTTACTTCCAAGAAACACAGTTGAAAGCATCCTTTCTAATTCACCAGTGCAAGTTTCAACTTGCTCAGCTTACTCGTGTTGCTGGGAGGGTTTCATTTGTTTCTGTCTCGGCAGATTTTACATTTGATTTTTGTGCATCTCAAAACACTTTTGTAATGACCCAAGTATTAATGCTTTACAGTACAGAAAATGGTTTGATGTATCTTGTACTGATTCTCTTCACAACCTGTGAAGTAAGTGCTCCAATCTTATCCTGCCGTATAGGCCAGAGGTTCTCAAACTTTTGCGTGCATCAGAATCACAGGGAAGGCTTGCTGTGTCTCACTCCCAGCCATCTCTGAGTTTGTAGGTCTGCGGTGTGGCCTGAAAATTTGCACTTCTAACTTGTTCTTACGATACTAGTCCTGCCGCTAGGCTATTTTTCATGGTCTGTATGAAGGATGGAACAGGTTGTATCACCTTTTTATGGGCTGATACAACCCAAGGCTAAGTTAATTTTGCTGTTTTAGCACCTCCACACCACTCTGATCATGCTTTCATGGCACTTATCCCAACATATCACAATACTTGGTGACTTTACATATTTGTCTTCTGCTGTCGAAATACCCCTCACTTTTACTTAGTGTATCCTCATCCTCAGTGCTTACCACAGTATCAGGTTCCTCATAGCAGTATATAAATATCTGGTGAAATGAATGATTAATGGTAATCCAACCAACCAGTCTGAGAGGGAACAAAATATACCAAAGGAAAATACAAAGTCCTGATGGCGCCCGTACTCAGTGGGTAGGCTGGTGGGTTGGAACCCAGCTGAGGCCTGCTAAACAACACAGCGGCAACAACAAAAAATAGCCAGGCGTGGCGGACGCCTGTAGTCTCAGCTACTAGGGAGGCTGAGGCAAGAGAATCACTCAAGCCCAAGAGTTTGAGGTTGCTGTGAGCTGTAATGCCACGGCACTGTACTGAGGGCAACAGCTTGAAACTCTGTCTCGGAAAAAAAAAAAAACCAACAAAGTCCAGCTATATTGCTGCATTAGGCTGAAGCCAAAGAAATTAGTTATTTTATAGCTGCCAGATACTGCACAGAAAAAACTCTTATGGCACATACCCAATAAAAATCTAAAAATGTAAATTTCTCATAGTCTTGCTATTTGTTTAACAAATATTTAACAGATACCTGTAAGGCACTATTCACTATTAAGAATCCTGGAGCTTACGAGACTGAATAAGTTCTGCTCCCTGCTAAAGAGATTAATAGTCAAAAGTGGTATGTGACTAGTCACCACTCCAAAGAATTAGTGAACACGTCAAGAGGCACTGGCATTATCACTTAAGTCCAATGGTTTCTAGCTTGTTCTTTCAACAGTTTGTTTCCATTTTTATTATAAAACATTTATTATAAAGGGGGCTCTGTAGTCACTCACCTGGTTTGGAATCTTGGGGGACACTTGGCAAGTCACTAATTCTCTGTGCACCAAAGCCACATCTGTAAAAGTGGAATATTAGTCTCACGCAGCAAGACTGTTTACAGTGTCCGGCTCTCGGTAAGGGCTAAAACATGTGAATTGTTACTATCATAGTCAAAGCTAGAAACTGTACTCTATTGTACTCGCTTTCAAAAGGCAAATAGCCTAAAACCGGTTTTTGGAAGAACAAGCCGTACGGTACATATTGTGCACGTCGTGTGATGGCCCAGTGGACTGACATGCCCACTCACGACAGCAGACATAGTTCACCTCTCTATGCATTATGCACAGTAACCAAAAAACCCCCAAAACCTCACCTTAAAAGGCCAAACATTACAAATATCACCTTTAAGGAGCTTCACTAGTAAGCCTCCACTTCCCGCAGACCAAGGATTACAAAGTTAATATTTAAACGAGGAGGAGTTAATTCTAAAATTAACAACATTTTCGAAAAATGGCGGGATTACACCTAGGTTTGCTGAAGTGGGTGATAAGGCGAAGGGGAAGGAAAAATAAGCCTTGACCCCGACGTGATTCGAACACGCAGCCTTCTGATCTGGAGTCAGACGCGCTACCGTTGCGCCACGAGGTCCTGCTGGGCTGTGGCTCGCGCAGTTTCTTAGGACTCGGATAACATGGCGTTTTTTTCCAGGACCATGCGGTCTTCTTTTCAGATCACCCCCTTGCCCAGTATCTGTCCAAGCTGGAGACCGTTACGTCAGTGCCCAAACTTTCCCGACAGCTGGCCCCCTATTGGGGTCGAGACATAAGAAGTAGAAGCGGGAGAATGGGCTCTCCGCTTTAGTAGGGTCCCCAGGGTCAAAGGAAACGGGTCCTTCCTCTTCAGCCAGCGGTTTCCGTTCTTACCCGCCCCGCCCCCTCTCGTTAGGCGCTGAGACTCCGCCCTCTCTCTCCCCTCCCAGCGCCGGTTCCGCGCTCCGAGTTCACGACCTCGAGTTACCGGGCGGGGCGCCACTGCGCACGCGCAGACCTGTGCCAGCCAGCAACCCAGAGCAAGTGCAACGGGTTCTCCGGGTGGTTTTCTTTTTCCTTTCCCTCTTCTGCCAACAAAATAAAGAACCTTCTCTTAGGGGCAGCTTTCATTTCACGGTGAGCATTAAACTAAAAGTCACCATTTTGAAAAGACACGATTGTGCACTTTAGAGGGAAATCTCAGCGTTATTATATTTGACAGAGCTGTCGCGCAATTAAGAGAAACGGAGAACACAGTTGCAGGCAGGTCAGTAAAAGGTCACTATCTCCCCGTCGGGGAATTGAACCCCGGTCTCCCGCGTGACAGGCGGGGATACTAACCACTATACTAACGAGGAGGTATTGGTTGTTTCGGTCCTAGATACCATCTCAAGAATAACAAGGCCCTGGGACTCGTCCGCCCTCCTGCCGCTATGCGGGTGGTGTAGAAACCTTGGCTATTGGGACCTGCTGTTTGGCTTGTAATCCTCTCTGGGCGCCCGGGACTCTTTTTGTTGTTAGAAAGAAGAAAAGGTTTAGAAAAAAATTAAATACAATTTCAAACGTGTTGATAAATTGGGTGGAAATACCTTCCCATGGCTCTTCCGTCAGATGTTTTTGTTTGTTTTTTAAATGATGACCACGAGTATGTGAGTGGAAGCAGAGCTTCACCCTAACAAACGTGTACGTCGTATTTTCCTTTTGAAGTTGAAGTTCAAGGATATCTTCTGGTTGCCAGATGTCTGGGACAGTCGGGGTTGTTCCAGTCCTGTGTCTGCTCCAACAGTCCATAAGGTCTCCTAGCATAAAAACGCTCCAGCCGCGGTCCGGTGAAATTTTATCTGCTGGCTTTTCCTGCATTGCTCTCTTTCCTGAGGCGTCTACGGTTTTACTTGGAAATGACAAAAATAAATTCGTAAATGATTAAATAATAATACGTTTAAACAACTCAAAACAAGGGCGTGCCATTGATGAAGCCGAGGGTTAGGAAAGTGTTCTAATGGGACAGCGCAGGTCATCCTAAAGCCTTTTCGTAAACAGGATCAAGCCTCTGGGACTGGGAGGCCTCACGTGTAAACTTTAGACTTTGTCGCTAAATAAGCGCATATATAGCCACAGACACCCACACGGCTGAAAGGGCTTCATTACAGATCTTAAACGTGTGTGTGTGTTAGGAATCCGTTGTTTGTAACGTGCTTGCTATGCCTGAATGGTATTTTTATAGATCGTTGATCACATGGTACTTTTTGACCAGATGAAAGGGATAATTTGCTCAAAGCAGACTCAAATGGCAATTTCTGAGGCCTGTTTTGGCTTTTCAGATTTTTTAAAATTTATTTATTTTTTACTCTCAAAAACACTTTTGAGAGTAAAAAAGCTCAGTGCATGGGGCCTGCTTTTCCTCTAACCCTCCAATAACTCTTGTGATGTCCAAAGGGCACTGTGATAACTGTGATGATGTCCTTTAACTGGTAAGATTTAAGGGGCTTGCCCCGGGTTCCCTGTTTGTAGAGTTGCCAGGCAGTGGGACCCCCCCTCTCCCGAATGGGCACCCCTCCTCCCCGCTTCCACACTGTGGGAGAAGAAGCTTAATCTTTGTTTCTCTAGAAGAGATAACATCCTCTCCACCAAGCTCTGGTGGAGCTAAGCCAGTGTTGAGCACACGTGTTGCCACTGCTCTTTTTTCTTCCCCGGGAAACTTAAGAGGCAGCCTGAGTCAGCGGAGATGAGAGAGCAGGGAACTCTGCAAGCACCTGCTGTACACCTTCCTAAAATGGAAAGGAAAAGAGAGGACTGTTATCCTGAGCTCCGCAAGGGAGTTCAGAGATTCTTCTCTGTCAGCATTGGGAGAAAGTAAAGGTTAAAATCTGATAGGCGGTACAGAGGGCGCAGCACTCTCTTTGAAAGTAAATGGCACGACAGCAATGGTGTTATTGAAAGACTCAAATTTTGCTCTGCCTAAAGAACTATATCTCATATCACCTCTTATAAAATGATTTACTTTCATTTCATTCGCTCAACATCCCTGTGAGGTCAATAGGGCAAGGGTTTTCTATTTTACTGGTGGATAAAAAGAACCTTGCGCAAGGTGGCAGATAGGAAAGCCAGAATCACCCAGCTCTGCCTGCAAATCTTGTGCTGCATAATTCCACATATACGCGCGTATATCCATAGGGTACCAAAAAACGTACACACATTTTAAGAGATGTTATCTATGTGTTACTTTTTAAAGTTGAATTGAAGATACTGTTTACTGGTCAAGTGTAGTTAGACACACTATGCATATCCATTTTACCTGCAATTTGCACACTTTTGGGGAATGATCAGTTTTACTTCTAACAAGATCTCTTAAAAATCTGCATAAATTTATTTGACCCCCCCCCAATATACACACACACACACACACACAAATAAATACAATCTATAATTACGTGATAGTCACTATAGTTATTCATTGACTTATTATTATTCAAGACGGAATCTCACTCAGACACCCTGGTGTTGAGTATCATAGCTCACAGCAACATCAAACTCTTGGGCTCAAGAGATCCTCTTCCCTCAGTCTCCTGAGTAGCTGAGAGACTACAGGCATCTGCCACAATACCCTGTTATTTTTTAGAGATGGGGGATCTTGCTCTTGCTCAGGCTGGTCTCCAACTCCTGAGCCACCATGGCCGGTCCTTCAGACATTGCTTTAGATGTATGATGAGGTTTTAGTGGATAAATCTTGTTCTTATGGAACTTTTGTTCTAATATAAAACAGACAATAAATAATGAATATAATAAATAGATAAGTATGTTAGACAGTGATAAGAGCAGAAATGGAAGCCCAATGAGGTGGCTCACACCTATAATCCTAGCACTCTAGGAGGTCCAAGTGGGATAATAGCTTGAGGTCAAAAGTTCAAGGCCAGCCTAAGAAAGAGTGAGCCTTCTCCACCCCTATCTCTACCAAAAATAGAAAAAAAAATTATGAGGGCATTTGGTATGTGCCTCTAGTTCCAGCTGAGGCAGGAGGAGCCTTAGGGTCCAGGAGTTGAAGATTGCAATAAAATATGATGACACTACTGTACTCTAGCCCAGGTGACAAAGTGAGAACCTGTCTTGGAAAAAAAAAAAAGCAGAAATAGAAAAAAAAAATAGTAGAGTAAGGGAGTTTGGAGAGTGGAAAGTTAAATAAAACAGTCAAGAACGGTGGCTCCTATAGCTCAAAGGCTGGAGAGTTTGAAACCTGCCTGGGCCAGGTTCAAAACAACAATGACAACTGCAACAACAACAACAAAATATGGTCAAGGTAAGCTTCATGAAAAAGATAACATTCAAGCAGACTTGAAGGAGGTAAGATACTGTAGAGAGGACATTCATTGCAAAGCCTTGGTTTTTATTCTGAGGGAAATGGGGAGCCAATGCAGGGTTTAAAAGGTCTTTTTATTGGCTTGGTGCCTGTTGCTCAGTGGCTAGGGCACCAGCCACATACACCAGAGCTGGCAGGTTCGAATCCAACCCGGGCCCACCAAACAACAGTGACAACTGCAACCAAAAAATAGCCAGACATTGTGGCTGGCACCTGTACTCCCAGTTACTTAGGAGGTTGAGGCAAGATAATCCCTGAAGCCCAAGAGTTTGAGGTTGCTATGAGCTGTGACCCCCATAGCACTCTATTGAAGGCAACATAGTGAGACTCTGTCTCAAAAAAAGGTCTTTTTATTGATACATAATGATTGTATATATTTATAGGGTACATGTGTTATTTTGGTAATGCATACAATGTATAATGATCAAATTAGGGGATTTAAAATAGCCATTGCCTCAAACATGCATTTCTTTGTATTTCAAATCTTATAGCTATTTTGAAATTATGGTAAATTATTGTTAATTAGTCATCCTACTGTGCTATCAGACACTGTAACTTATTTCTTCTGTGTGTTTGTGCCCATAGGCTGGCCTCTCTTCCTGCCTCACCCCTTGCCAGCCTCTGGTAACCATCATTCTACTCCACCTCCATGAAAACTGCAGGGTTGTGAACAGAGTAGTGATATAGTCCGGTTCATGTTTTGAAGGCTCTTTGGCTATTGGGTTGAGAGTAGATTGTAGGAGGCAGGGGCAGAAGCAAGGAGACCTATGAAGTCTATAGCAATAAACCATGAAGGAGATGATGGTCGTTCAGGCC